TGTATAATTTTGAGGTCTATAAAATTAATTTTTATCGAATTAAAAAAAAAAAATTACATAACAATGAAACCGTTACTGTCGTAAACTTTTAAGTTTTTCAATTATTATGAAAACTTCTTGAAAATTAAAATAATCACATCAATATATCAACTTGATCTAAAATGCGACAAAAAGAAGTCTTTTGTTATTAAAATCAATATTTCCGGTTGAAAAGTCGCACACACAAAAATTAAAAATATCACACCATAATATAACCGGTAAATTCCTTGTAATCTAAAATTGTATACACATGTGTGTGCAACTATTGAATTATGTTTAAATGAAAAATATTCTCATACAATTACTCATACTTTAAATGAATACGGAAATTTAGTGATGAATTTCTATACAAAAGTATAATTAAATACTAAGCCGCCGGCAACAATATGCTACTCCGATGATAATAATATACTCGAGAGATTTAAAATCATCACTAAAGTGGATTTCATTTGTTTCGTGAGTTAATAAATCGACGTTCGCCTGATGTTTACCGGTGCGTATAGGTACAAATCGTTTCATTTATGGTTTCATCGTATGGTTTCTCTTGGGTACAGTTCTTAAAATATCTGCTCGAAATAGAGACGGGAAAACTAATCTAAACAAAGGTATTTCTGTGTCTGCGTCCGCCTGCAGTTTATGGTGCACAGCCAATGGAACGAAGCTTGCACTTAAATTCTGGACTTTGAATGAGATAACTGAACTGTGTTCTAGGGGATTACTGATTCCTAATCAATTTTCGAATACTGTTGTGCGTAAATGTTCCTGTTTTTCGACACTTTTTTTTTTATGTTTTCTCCCATTATTGAGGAGATTTTCAAGAAATTAAAAAAAGAAAAAATTATTTTCTCAACGCATCGAATAGATTGTGAATCCTACAACAAAGTTTTTATGGAATTTTTAATTTGTTTTGTTGGTCTAAGACTTGTTTACACGCAGAACAAAGAAGAATTTCACGTTAAAGTTACTTAATAATTCACTGAAGATCGAAATTAGATTGATATCGGTAGAATCGATGTCATCAACGTGTGCGTTTATATTTAAGATTTCAAACTGAGTTGCTCTCCTCGGTGAATCCACACCGAAACCGGATAAATTAGAAATATTGATATAGTACATGTTTTATTTTATTAAACACCGTCAAATACCAGCCATAGAGTTGTAATATTGTACACCGAGATCGATTCTGCAGTGTTATTGTTGCCAATATTGTTACGCAATTTGGCTGAAAACTAAAACATTATCTAGACGCAACATAAAATGGGTGACAATACGACTATTGTTTCGTACATATTGTGTTACCTTGTTTAGATTCCGAAAATCAAAATACTGGTCTAATATACGGACTATATGTAAAAACACAATAAAATATGAACTGAATTCAACGTGAACAAATTAACATTACTTATTAAACAATAAGTGACGCTTAATCTCAACATAGTCGCGGTACCGTGAAGTTTAATTTTCGTTTTCTTGTAAAGTAGTTTTAGTGAAATTGCGAAAAACCTCATACAATCCCGTTTATAGTTATTATTTTATTTTTAATAGCAAATATTTATTGGAGCTCACTAAGAGAAACTCGTGTTTCCACACGAGGTTGTCCATAATCGATTATTACAAAAATAATTGAGATAATAAACATAACATAACGTTTAACTTGAAAATCCGCTCGATTTAAATGAGTTATATTTAACGTGTATCATAACTAACTTTCCCACCAGCCTTGGCAAATAGTTAAAAACAATAATTAAACGTTGTGCATTTTTTTTACACACGCGCGAAATATACATTAAACACGTAAGTATAATGCAATATAACTACGGTGCGGTTATCCGAAACGAAGTTAATATAACGTTGGAAGAACATTTGCGAAAATCGATACGCGTAGTTCCGGGATACCTAGGCACTCGGGGAAAGAAAAAAAAAACGTATAACGTCATAATTGACATAAAATACGTGATATATAAGTAGTTACAAGTACCTACATCATAGTGAGTAACGTTTAATGACAGTTTTGAGCGATGGGTACGTCATAACTCAGAAGTGTCGTTAGTGGGCTATTTATATATATATATATATATATAGGGTATACTTTATTTAGTAAATAACCGAAATCAAGTAGTGATGTGCTTACTGTGAGAATATATCCAAGTCGGACGATCCGGGAAGTACGAGACGGGGCAATACCATGCCGGGACGGGACTTCTTCCGGCTTCTGCTGGCGGTGACCACGGACGAATGGCCGCACATCGTGGTCGACGTGGAAGCGGACGACGTGCAAAAATGCCAGGGTGAATCGGACGTCGGACAATGGACGTTGAACGCCGGCGTGGACGGCGTATGCGTGTGTGGCGACAGGATGGTCAAGCGGCGTTCGCTCGACGGTAATGCGAGCGACAAGTGCGACGGAACGGACATCCGTGTGGACGCGAATATGCCACGTCGGCGGTCGGCCATCTCGGCGGTGGCGGCGGCCGCAGTGGCCGCCGCTGCCGCCGCGTCATCCAGGCCGCTGTCCAATGACTTGCGGTCGTCCGGGGCGGCCATAATGAAACTGGTCCGGTGATGCGACGACGGTGCGGACGGCTGCGGGGACGGCAGACATTCCATCGACTTACTGTTTCCGCCACCGCCGCCACCCCCGTTACCCGTGTCGGCCGACAGCCATCGTCTCCTGTTCTCAGTGGCCACGACGCTGTTCACCGTTACCTGCACCTGCCGCCGGGCCGGCGCGCACGATTCTTGACAACTGTAACCGCGGCGTACCATCACCGACCGTTTCCGAATCCTTTCCGCGGCGCCGACTGCGGCGGACGCGCCACATGTACTACCGCTAACGGTACCAGGCGCAATCGCCACGCCATCACCGTCGTTATCGGGCGGAAAAGTCACCACCGGACGACTGCTGTCCTCGTCCTCTTCCAGTGTCGGTGCCGCCGTCACCACTTTTTGCCGTTGCAGCGGTTTCCACCCGCCGGCGACGACACCACCGCCGGCCCCTACTTCGATTACCGCGGTCGTCTTGAACACGGTCGGAACCGGAGAAACGCCGTCACCGTCATTTGATGGTCGGTTGTCCTCGCGATCCGTGGACGGTGCCGAGTGCCACTTGACCTCAGTCAACGAAGTTTTGTTATTTGCACCACTATCGCCGTCTTCTAGGCTTTTAGAACCGGCCGAATACTGAAGCGAACCTCCCAACGACATTTTGAGAGGTTTATCGTCTGCAGGTGGATTGTTGTTATTTTTCGAAGACATTTTCACTTTTTTTTTTATAAATTATATTTTACTCTCAATAATCCGCAACGGTGGAACTAAAATAACAATAAATGACTTATGAAAAGTAGAACTAAAAGATAATACCTGTTTCTCCCCAACCCCTATTCCCAACGAAATACATATTTTGATCGCGAACATTAATCGCGCCCCGGCGAGAAAGGCGGCAACACTCAAAATGGTAATTTTTATGGTTTTTCGGTAATACCGGCGAACCATTTAAGCGGAAACACTCACAATATCTCGGAATGCATTAATTTTTTCTATAATTTGTTTTCTAGAACATTTATAAGAAACAAGCAGTTTTACAATTTTATTTTTACGCTATTTTTTCGTCACACTTATTTTCGGGGGTAATCCACAATCTACTTTTGATTTTCATTTGGCGACCTATACTTAAAAATCCATAAACAGATGGAGTATTAGTTAAAATACATTTAAGTGTTCAAAATTTTCGATTTCTATCAAGCCGTTGACGAGATATTCCACTGTTAAGTTCGGGTTGGAGGAGATCAGTGGAATCGCATCATTTGTGTGGGGCGGTACGGCGCATGGCATGATAATAATGCACTACTACTCTCTTCTTGCCACAAAAACGTCACACGTTTTACTCTCAAATTATTCGCCGTACATCAGTCGCTTCAGTTTTACATTTAGAATTTATTTTTTTTAATATTGCTATTTCTCAATAATTAATCCATTTTTTTTTTTATTTGTGTCGTTTTTCTCACCTGGTCGCAATAATGTCTTATTGATAGCTCTTTGAAATCGAATTTTCAACAGCCACACATAAGACAATTTATATCATATTCACGATCAAAAAACATACCCCGAAACATTAATACAGGCTTTTTAGATCCGGGGAATGTTTTATTTGCGCCGCGATCTGCGTGTAGTACACTCGTAAACAAGTCGCGAACAAATTAATACGCGGAAGCAAACATCCCGCAGCTAATATAATAATATTACATACGATTGAAAACTGACGAGAACTCTGTACAACTACAGTATATAGTATTCGAAAAGAAAACACTCGAAAATATAGAGTACAATAGGTAAAATCGAAAAAAATAATAATAATAATAAAAATAAAAATAAAACACATCAACCGGAAAACCATAAATACAGGATATTGTTACGTTTTTAGTATTTTACGTTGTCGCTTCAGTAAAATATTCTCTAAATAAAAAAAAAAAAAAAAAAAAAAAATGCATTACTCTCGAACAAACACATTCGGCTCTACGAGATACAGGCGACTCGACTCTGGACGTATATGGCCAGTAGTTTAATGAACAATATAATGCGCCCGGGGACATTTATTGTCCGTTCCATACGGACATTCCGCGTTTGTCACTATAACAAATTTAAGAGAGTATATAATATATATTTACGCGGAATGAAACGTTTTTATTGTATACGCACGCAGGTGACTTGACCTTTAAATAATAGCGTAATAAATTATGGAACCGAAATTATCGTGCGGAACCAAACGAGACTACCGAGCCCGGATTAAGACGCCGTTCAGAGGTCCCGGGGCGGCCGAATTTTTCAACGAACCTCTTGGAAAGAATAACGTGAACAAAAAAAAAAAAAAAAAATCGTTAAATGTGTTTTAACGAAATTAAAACGATATCTGTACTTGTACACACATCGTAGATGTCAATTCGAAAGTCGCGATATGAACGGTCATTATTTAAATAAATACGGTTATAATTTATTTTTTGCCTTCAACGGTCGATTTTCCATTCCCGTCATTAAAACTTCATCCGATTTACTCATCGTATGTAACAACGGTATGTATACGGAAATTGTAAATATACAATTTTAGTTTCGATAAAATAAAAAATACCGGCAGTTTCCACGGCATAAGCCGTCATCGGGCAACGGAGAAATATTAAAATATCAATGTACAAAGTTAACGGACAAATGTATCGGTGAAGAAAATAGGGCGAAAACAGAGGCCCTTGGAGTCGGATGGCCCGGGACCCTCCTGGCCCTCTCCGGACCACATTGAATCATTTTGTTTCTAACAATTTGACGTCCCCCGTTAAAAACCGTCCATACACTTTTTTTTTTTTTAAACGCTTAGGCTACATTGAAATCGTTTGAGTGATTAAAATCTAAGATTTCACTGTAATTAAATAATAGGTTTTTAGTAAAAAAAAAAAATTAACATAGTCATCTAAGTATATAAAAGGTGTAGTCTATAAAAACAGAAATAATTCGCACGATGGGTGGACTAATGTTGTAGGAGAGAATTCGGGAAGGTAGAAGAAGAATCAAATATATATCTGTATGTAAATATTAATTATTGCTGACCCAAAACGATTCTGAGCGGAGCTCGGTTGTACGTGTTTTGAAAGGCCGTAATATTTATAACGGTTTGCAAATACATTTCGTAAATATCCCCAGTTTTTCCCATTTGTTATGAAAACCTCAAAAAAAAATTAACAATGTACCATTCTAGTCAAGTTTTTTTCTAGAAAAGATGCTACGCTTGAAAATCCGAGTAAAATTTCTGGTAATAAAGTCGTTCACAAAAAAACAAAAATGAAAAATAAATATCATCGTAAAACCGATACATTCCTGGCTTCGCACAAAATTTTAAACATCAAAGTTACTTTGCATAACATTTGTATGTACATTTTTATTTGTTCAGCACAAACTATGCTTGATAACTGATAAGAATTGTTATCACATTATATGTCATCACACTATCGCCTTTATACAGTAACAATTTTAGTTTTTACGAACAATTCAGTTGTTTACTCGATAATATTTTTGTTTGCTTACGGTGGTTTCGATTTATTGTTTTTGAATAACAAACTCATTATTTTTATACAGTATAGTAACATTCATTTTTTTTTTCTAGAGGAATATAGTGGGAATAATTTTAAGTAATCTGTTTTCGCCGACAACGGATTGAATAACAACGAAAAATTCCGATTTGTTGTTTCGGAAAACGTTATTAATTCAGAAAAAACATCGAATTAGTATAATTCGTAAATGGATTGTTATCATCGGTGGGCGCCATTATAATTTAACTCCAATAAAAGAATATCGATCACGGCAGTATGAATATTTATTATAAAGAGTATAATTACCCTCAAAAAAAAAAAAAATAATAATAATATTAATAAATTCGATTAAATATTAATGAATATAATTATTTCATATTAAACGTGTGTTTAATTATATTTTAAGAACGGAGTTGCGTTGAATATTCAATTTTTACGATTATCACAAGCCAAAAACAATATCATCAATAAATCCGATGATTTTTTAATATTTGTAATAATATACAGGGTTTATCGGAGATCAATTCAAACAAATGCAATATTTTGGTTCTGTTCAATGTGTTTTTTTTCTTTTAATGATTTCTAGATCCTTATGCACGCTTTGATTCCTTTATTTTATACTTTTTTAAAACTGTTTTCAAAAAAGACGGACACAATTCGCGCGGAGCTTGGGCCATTGTTATAAGTGAGAAGTTAAGCAGGTTGAACATCAAGGGAAATTTAATTTCTATCTGTACTTAACAATAAATCATTATTAATGAAAAACGATTCGGTGTAAAATTTCTTTTATACCTGTACGTAATTTTCCCCGTTTATCCTGAATGTTAGGGAAAGCACAAAAGCCTCGATTGCAGATAGAACTCGCTTAAAACGGGAGAATTGAGTTCTCAGGGATGTAGGAGAAATGGACGAAAGAGTATTTCGGCTCGAAAGTCTGATCTTAAAGGCTCCGTAAACCTTAAAAATATGAAGAGAAAATTTGTATTGTTTTTTTAAAGCGTATGTTGCGTTTTCCGCAGAAATGTAAATTGAAATCGTTTCATTAGACAGTTTATTTATTATTAAAATATTTCTATTTTGACATTTTCGTAGTGCCGACGATTTAAAATTTTGAATATATGATGGTGTAACTTTTCGACAAGACAAGACGTAAATTTCATGCTCTATAAAACGTGTATGATGTATAGTTAGGTTTCAGAAAGGGGAGGAAAAAAAGACGTATCTAGTGGTATTATATGTGGACAGCGCGCAATACGCGCTAAGGATTTACTGGCGTAGGAGATTATAGGGCGGTTGATTATATAACTTCCTCAGAAATTTTTCGGATGAAATACCTAATATACCCTGCAGATATACCTACCCGTATATACTTAAGCTTCGGGATAATAACGGAACGCGAAAAATACAAACTACCGGGTATAATGTAATTGAAATATTTATACGAGTATTATTCTATCGCCCAGATTCACACTTTGTCAAAAATGACAAAACAACACGAGCTTGTATAGAATTAATGTAATAGAATAATAATATACATGAGCTCGACGAGCTGCGGTAATATCATTGAATCCGTGCGAACAATTCTGCACGATTCGCCGAAGAAAAAAAAATACCGCGTAGATACAAATAACGAACCTAAAACTAGAGTTTAATCAGTATATAAAAAATAATAATATTATTACGTCCTCGTCTATAGATCATATCGTTATTTTAAATTGTGTTAATTTTTTTTTTCAAATTTCTTTAGTCAGATACGATTAGAGCGTAAACATCAAGCGAATTTCATCATCGTTTAAAAGAATAATTGCGCCACAGTTGATCATCGTCCACGCGTTAAAGTTTACACAGTGTGTTCGAATAGTGTCTCGTAGCTATTCATTTTTTTTATTTCTGTAATTGACTTTTTGATCAATAAAATATTATATTTTACCATTTTGAAAACATTGTCCGATGACGTACGGTCATCTAAAATCGATTAAAAATAACAATATTACAAATAATAAAATTAATTAATTTTAAACAATATGTTTTTAAAGGAACGTATTCCAAATGAAACTTTATTAAGGAACTTTGTATTTAACAGATTCCGTTTTATTTTTTAAAGGAATAGGAACGGGAATTAATTTCCTTTTTTACGTGTGCTCTTAATTTGAATTCCGAGGTAAATCCTGCAACCGAAAAATCCGTAAAGTAGCGTGCTCCTTGAAGAAAATTCCTACTAAATAACACAATTGGTTCGATGGGTAACGTTTAATTTTAATTTTTTCAATTTGTTTAAAAAAATATATTAATAACAATAATAAAATATGAAGGGCCGGACAGAAAATGGGTATATTTTCTTTTTTTTGTATAGGCACAAGGAATATAACTAATTCCTTTTGGCATATAGTGTGAAACATATTCCTCTTATGTTATAGGGACGTGGACCGAAATAGTTTTTTTTTTTAAAAAATACTACACTACTTTTATAAGTGATGAAATTAGATTACTAATTTGCGAGGGGAGGACGAGTTTAAAGTAAAGATAATCATGGACAATTGAACATGCTCGTACACAATAATGTAGATTTTAAACTCGTATTTTTTTATTTTTTTTGTATTTACTTGTAAGAACAAGACAATTACTCGGACGTGGTGCTAAAATAAATTAAATTGATCATATATGAACACCGTGAGGGTCAACATTTAAAAAATCTGATCGACGCGGTGATTTTTGGTATCCCCGACATTCTAAAAAAAAGAAAAAGTGAATCACACCCTATGTATTTTTGTAATTTTAGAAAATAAATAATACGATTAAAAATAAATATTGGACGAAAACCATAATTTAAATTATTATTTACATAATATAATTACACGAAATTATAATATGTATAATGTATAGCGAATGCAAATTGTATATAATATTATGTATTTTTTGTTTTGGTTTTAACATTAATGAGAATTAAGAATTCGTTATATCGTATAATTCTCTAAGAAATGTTTCTTAGCGTTTAATAATTACTGTTGGCAAAAGTACGCACCGCACTGCAACTCCAATGGCAAACGGATATTAAAACGTTTTAGCGTTCTCTTTGTAAAAATAATTGGACTGTAAACAACAATAAAATTAACAGTAACTTGAACCGTACTATTGGCATAAAATACATTTCAAACGATAATATATAAGAGCCGAAATATGTTGTTACTTTTAAATGCATAAGAACTGTATTTGTTTGATTGTTATGAGTACTTAACACTGCAACGAGTGCAACAAATTCAATTAATTCCTCTATATTATATAGTGTGTAGTTTTTAAAAGTTTTTAAAATATATCGTGGTATAGGTTTATTATAACGTAGGTAGTCCTATTCACCTATTTACGAAAATGTACACCACGTATACAGAGTGATCAGAATCACAAATCAACGATTTTCGACGAAAGTCTTGTGTACGAATAGAAGTGCGAGAGGTGCAGACACACTAGGGTTTATGACCACCTGCATGGAAACGCCAAAATTAATTTAATATAAGAAAAGCTCTGGCTAATGAAGCTTTCCTACAGAAATAAATTATTCTTAGTAATTGACACCTTAAACATAAAACTCGTAAAAAGTTTATTAAAACTATATTTAATGGAGTGTTTTATGTTATGAATATGAGACATGGATAAAAGGACAATAATGCAGAAAAATAAAAACAAATTACAATCAATGGAAGTGTGCTGTGGAGGAAGACGATTAAAACCAATTGGATAGAACGAAAATCAAATGAAAGAGTTCAAAGAGTTAAGACCACGAATGTGAGAGAAGCAGTCTATTAATGATAACAAAATGGGAAGGAAAATTAAGTTTGTTGGGCATCTTATACGTCACAATGGTGTTCTTAATAAAACCTTAGAGGGACGAATAACGGGTCGAACATTAAGAGAAAGACTTAGAATTAATTATTTTCATGACTTAAAAGAAAAGATGGGTGGCAAAGTAGACTTGTCTTGTTATTGCATTGAGTCCTTAAATTGTTGACAGGAAAATCCCCAAAAGGGAAAGGGCGATAACACAAATATGGCCGGTGTGTTAGGTATACGCGATTTATTACCGAAATCGAATTTAATTAAAGTCTTCGTGCAGCCGTTGGTTTGAATCGCACTTGAATTGATTTCGAAGAAAAAGTTTAGAAAAATACCACATCGTCACCTTTATATTATATTTATTTACAAAGTGGTTCATTAAGTGTACTCTACCCGTTTTTTAGGTTAAGTTTCGCTTACATTCAAATTCTGATTTTTGGAATTTTTAAGTGTTGTTAAAACCGATATTTTCGAATGCTTAGATTTATTACAACATTTAAGGAATATCCTATGGCGATTCCAACTTTGGTTTTTCAAATGAGACTGGAAATTCCATAAACGGACGGAGTATTACTTTAAGTACATTTTGGTATCGAAATTTTCGATTTCCGTGAACCCGTTAACGAGATATTACAAAGTCGGTCTCACCACAGGATACTCCTTAATTTATTGACGCTGTAAAAAATCAACAAAGTATTCGAAAATATCGACTTTAACTATACACTTGAAAATTCCAAAAAACCAAAATTTGAATGTGGGCAAAATTCAACGGAAAAAACGGGACGAGCATGCTTAGTGAATCATTCTGTATAGAGAGATGAAGAGAGAAAGAGATAGAGAGAGAGATAAGTAATAATGTTGTTGTAGTAGTAGTGATGCGGTCTGTTCCGATGATATTCTTTGGTCGTATTGTTATTATTTGCAGAGTAGGTACAACACGAATAATATATATTTATATGTAGGTATACAGGCGATATTGAAATCCGGGATTTGCCGGCCCCCGGACGATGTTAAGAATACTATACATAGTAATCCCTCCTGTACATACAGCCCCGAAGCGCGAACCCGGGGAGGACGGTCGTGTAAATCGGACAAAACGTCGAAGATCGAATCCTGATACACACAGGTATACGACACCGAAAACGATACGTGGGGCTCGGCAAATCTCGCGAGTAAAACGAGACGAAAATCACGAGGAATATTCTAAGTATAGGCAAGCGGCGGGACGGCCGCGGCGGTGTTATTTGAATTGCAAATTCAAAGGCGCCCGGTGGGTATTTTTCGTGTCGCGAACTTTTGCGACGTGTACAGGCTGTGTCCCACGAAGATAACAATATATACTCGTCACGATGATATTATCTTCCAAGATAATAAAGATAATGATAAATTCTGTTTTTTTTTTTTTTTTAATTTTATGACACGGAGACAAGGACTACATAATTATGAGGATTTGTATTTTAATTGCATTTTAATGCCATGGCCGACAATTTAAAAAAAAAAAAATTTCTTTAATTATTTTCGAACAATTTTAATTTAGAATAAGTACCATCTTACAGTTTATTTTTAGGAAATTTTCGACGTTTTCGCTTTTTTTTATATTGTCTTTGCGACATTTAACTGTCCGTTTATAGGAGAATAGTGTTGAATACCATTATGCATGTATTGGGGTTTTTTCAAAACATTTTATCAAAATAAAAACTTAAATCGGAAAACGAAATGAGAACATTTCAAAACACCACTATGATATTATTATACTCTAAACTGAAAAAAAAAATATTTAAAACCGCGAGATTCAAAAGTGAAACGTCAGGTTTTTCAAAAATAATATAATTAAGTACAAAGAACCCACATAGAATTTTTCAGCGATAATGATTGTGTAAATATTTGATAAATAATAATTGTGCAACATTGAATAATGAAATATTTATTTCTGAATATTTTATCAATATTGAATAATTATAAAAATGTCAATGTTTGTATTTTTGAAGTTCAAGTTTTAATGAGCGTTGCTTACGGAAGGTAGATAAACAAATGCGTTACTTAATACTTGCATTATGTATTTATATGTTGTTAGATAAAATACAGTTAGGTAGTAAAAAGAAGTTTTTATTTTAATTTCTCACCAAAACGCAAAAACGTTAATATTTCAGTCGATATCCCCGTAAGTCGTGCGTACGACATATAACAAAAAAAACCGTAATTTGATTATTTCAATAGTATCTCGGTGGATATCGCGGCAACGGGAACGTCTTCGGTGGAACACCCCGTACGCCGAGACGATATTTCGCGAATACACTGCGTGACGACAACCGCAGTCCGACAATTATTATTCTCGTACTCGCGCACCGTCACGGTGCTTTTGTCAAAAGAGAGAGAGAGAAAAAAAACAAAAACGAACACAATATTTATTTCGGGCCCAGTCCTATACTGCAGGCGCGTTATAGATTACACGAGTACGTATATACTCGGTACCTATTATCATTATCTCGTACGAAATCAATTTTAAACGGAGACGTCGCCGAACAAAATGCTTGCGAATGCCCACGGCTTTCGGAGGGCGTTTTTAATGTATACCGTTCGGGTCGCACGCTATGTACGTCGCTTAAAAAAACGTAAGTTTTCGTGCGAAATAGACAAAACGCGTATAATAGTCGCGGAACGAAAGTAAATATAATACGGGCGAGAGTGTCTGCGTAAAAAATGTATGTTCAACGCGTCGAGTTAGGTTTCGGGTATTAAAATGTAAAAAAAAAAAAAAATAACAAAAAGCCGCGTCCCATTTGACGATACTAGCGCTCGTTTCCCGAATAATAACTACGTGAAATGTAGGCGTTATTTTTTGTTTTGTTATTGTAATTTGGCTGCAGAACTGCCACGAAGCATCGCATCGGTAATATTATTGTTATTATTATTATTATTATTATACGACCGCCGCGGCACTCTCGCGAAAATGCAAATATCATGTTTTTACGATTTTTTTTTTTTATTATTATTTCACTTATTCGACGATTTAGTTTTTAAAATTTTCCACGTTTATACCAGTATAAGTTTCAATATTCTCCTGTTAATTATCATACTACAGAGCGGACGATGTAGATTCAAATATTTGTTCTACAACTCAAAGTTTATAGTAACAAAACAACTGTTCAGTATTTTCTTTATATAATATATACGTAAAAAAAAACATCTTCACGCTAATATTTAGTAGCAGTTACTCGACGTATTTTTGCTATTCAAAAAATTATGCGGGCGTTTGAACCTCGGCTACACCGCTACGCGCTCGCGAATGAATTCTGTAACTTCTATTATTTTCAGAAAATAGTTTCGAAAATATACGCCAAGATAGAGAATTGTAGAAGGGAAATGTATTTTTTTTTCTACAAATTGTATTATTATATATTTGTATTAAATATAATTAAAAAAAGTTGGGAAGGTAGGATAAACAAGGTTATTTTATTTATATCTGTAAGCAACGATAAACCATTGCTGACGAAAAACGATTCCGAGCACAGTTCGTTAATACATAATTTGAAGTGCCGTCTTTTTTTTTTTTTACGATATTCGTTTAAATTTTATTAATAAAAAAAGAAAAAATAGTCTTCCGATGATTTTTGAAATTTAACCACGTCTAGGTAAGTCTAATATAAGTATTATATTAAATTTCAAGTCTCTACGTTTATTTATAACCGAATCGCAGCAAAAAAACTTCTTAAATTTAAAATTCTTTAAAAGCCTAAAGTAGTTTAAAAGTTTTAATGATGATACCGTGAAAAAGTAAATCAAAAAGGTAACAAAAATGGTATTTGTGATTTTTCGATTAAATTATTTTTGCGTGTAGAAAACGTAGTCCGTGTTTTTATAAAATAATGAAATCGTGAAATTGTACGTTTTCAGAAAAGTTGCAACGCCTAAGAATCAGAACAAATTTACTAGGAAAAAACGTGTCTGCAGTCTAGGGCGTAAAACAAAGAAAAAAAAAATAAATAAATAACACTGTAAAACCGATGGATTCCTCGCTACGTTCTGAATCTTAAAAATAATAACAGTAAACCGACTATCGTAAATATTACTGACAAGTATACAACATCGAATATTTTTCATCAATTGCAAAATACAGCGCATCAAAAAAGAAAAACTAATATCAGCGCTTGTAGTTCTACAAATAAAGTATAAATTTCGAAAAACATCCCGTGAAAAAAGATAAAACGATTCATTCTGTTAGAATACATTATAAAATCGAAGTGATAATATTATAACGACTCGAGGAACCGTATGATCGCATTTAGAAACTATTTTCGATTTGGAAAACATTGCTTATATTACTCGTTCGAAGTAAAAGTCGTTCGTGTATACTGTATATTATAATATAACTATACGAAAACGTGAGAACTTTGTTAAAACTTTTAATGATATACAGGGTGACCCACGAAGATTCGTCAAATGCAATGACTTTCATATTGTTATAATAGATTATGTATTGTACAATTTTCTTTTTAATACCGTTGAAATTATCATAAATTCAGAAAAAAAAATATCAACCGATTTTCACCAATTTTAAAATAAAAAAATCATGTAGAACAAAAGTATTATTGCGTTTGTCGAATCCTCGTGAGCCACGCTATGCGATAATATTTCCGTTGGAAAAAAAAAAGACACTAAACCGCATCGTATACACGCAATAAAACTTCAGATAATAACTATTCGATTCTAATCTAAACTAACCGGCACGACCCTATATAAAAAAAAAACCTTACCGTCACACAAAAATTATAGATGTTTTATTAAAAACCAAAGAATGTATTTTTTTTTATTATTTTAGTGAATATCCACTGGCGTCCATCATCAAAAGCCCCACGACCAGAACCCCTTAATTTTCGGACATTTCCCGGGCACCCATCAGCGAGAGTATTCTGTTACAAAAGTCGACTACTAATTAAATAATTTATCACGTTATAATATTATGTGTTCCTGTGAACGTCACATACGGTAAGCTAAATCTTGCTCTGCTGGTTCGTGTCCAGTTAATTTTACTGTGTGAAAATCTCCTTATTAAAATCACCCGAAAACTACGAGGGAACTGTGTACATTTAACCTATTACGTATCACAAAACATATATTTGTATTGTATAATACACAGTACTCGACAATATATACGGTCGATTTCCGGAAAATACAAATTAATTTTAACGAATTTTCGGGCAACTTTGTTCTTTCGTCATTATATCGACAACAGACAGTATAGGTAAGTACGCGGGAATAAAAATAACGAATATTTTTTAGGTTTTTTTTTTTATTATTATTATTATTATAATACTACATTCGATTTTTTTTAACTATAAGGTGTTTTGTGTTTTTATTATTATAAAAAAACCGTAATAATTGTTTACACTTATAATGAAGTTGTTGACAATAATGACAATAATAACTATAATGTCGTTTATCGACGGCCATAATCGAAAATAATAATTATAGTTTCCCGTAAACTATAAAACGTTATTGTATCGGGGGTATAAAATCGAACGAACTCAATAGTCAAAGCGAACACGAGAAATATTAATTTTAAATTCGATAAACCCCCCTCCTCATTTCTCCGTGTTCGCCGAACAATATAAAATAATAATATTATAATTGAAAATATGCCGGGCCGTCGGATACTTACATTAGATAGACAAATATCATTGTTCGGAGGGAATATTATATAGTCTGGTTTTAAAAAAACGAATACAAAAAAATTTGAACGTAAATAATTAATAGTTTTAACGAACGTTGACAAAACTGTTTGATAATTATAATTCGCCAGACTGCACCGGGCGAGTCGGATTAAAAGTCGCTTGACTACTTTGATTAAGAAAGATTTTTTTTTTTTTTTAATTTTTTCTTTTAGACAAACCATGTATCATTACGAATTGTACGTTCAATTCCGATAACAATTTATTACGCTATAACACATTAAAAAAAAAAAATAATAATAATAATAATAAATAATCACAAATACATAAATTAATAATTAAACTTAAGAACAATTATTGTTCGACGGATATCATCGTATACGAATATACAGATAACGTTTAATATAATAATAATATTGTAAGTGGCGGGCGATGACGAGTGTATCCCAATTCTCGATTTATGTCATCCCGCAGCAATGATAATTTAATTAAAACGTACCCGCCGAATTAACGTATTATTATTTTCGACAGATTAACTAATATAATACTGTTATTATATTTTGTATCATGTCGCGCGATTATATTTATCATGTGTTATACAGGGCGGTTATTTTATTCGTGGTCCGACGATTATAATATCATCGCTACGGAGAGTTTGTGTGAAATCGCCGGTTTCCGCAGGGTTTTGTAATATGCGTATATCAGTTGTTCAATGGCGGCTCGTCGGGTGAGACAAGCGAATCGCTGGAAAATCATCGCTGCCACGGCTACCGTTTTCTTATTACAAAATAAATGTATTTATTCATTTGTGGACGTCATATTTCGAAATGTCAAAACCGATTTTCCTCAGAATATACGTATAGATTATTGATTGATTTTTAAATAAAGGTTAGTGTATGTTTTAATTTGTCATAATAATATCCTATAGCTAAAACCTAAAATCAACAAGTACCTAAGATTTAATGGTAAACCAGCGCATTGTTTTCTATATATTAATTTCTTCATGTTTCGAAAATATTCGCCACTCATACGGTTCACGAGCAGCCATTGCGGTTATTAAATTATACGACCGTTCAATGATATTAGATTTTAACTGTTACCCTTATTCTGTGGATTTGATTTTGGTTTTCGATATACCTATAGCAGTACCGTAATTCTAGTATCAATCCGGTACCGATGAGAAAAAATGTCGATATGCATACATATTATATGACTATAATATTGGATTCGAATGAATGTGAAATTTACTACAGTTTTCCCTTTACTCATACGTTGCAAATTAAAATTAAGAGTAGGGAAGATGTTTTAAAAATGCATTGAAATAAAGCTTAAACTGCGATAATATCGTTGCGATTGAAAACGGAAATCAAATTTACTTAAAATTCCTGATAAATTTCTTTAGATCATAACACACAAATCACCAATAACGTATTGGAAATATTTTATTTTATCTCCACATCGTTTTAATTAGGTACCTACCAAAAAAGAACCAAAATTAATATAATTCGGTTTTAAATCCTTTAAAACTCGAAAATCCCTTTAGGTTCACAAATCTACTGAAATAGCAATTTATTTTCACGGGCCAATTATTGTATTTATATATTGCCTTTTTAAATTATACTTTTTTTTTTTGTTGTTTCACACGTAAAAAAATTGTTTTTCTTCTCGCGAATATAGTTTGTTTATTTTTTCAAATAAAATATAGAGAAAATCACGTATTTCCATAATTTATAATTTGATTTTTGATAAAAAAAAAAAAAAAAAATCGAGCACTATACCTATACTCACAAACAATAATAATATATTCTGAATGTATACAAGAAATAAATTACGACTTGGGTTCCAAAAAAAATAAAGTTTTTTTTTATTTGCGTAACTAAAAAAATAAATAAAGAAAGTCAATTGCTTCGTCATCATATATATTTTAGTTAAAGAAATTAATTTTGTGATGAAAAGAAAAATTATATTTTCAGCTTTTCAATTGTATTATTTAAATTTCGAGCCGTTGAAAACGTGCCATTTATATTTCATTCGTTCTTTTTACGACGTATCGGTATTTCGAAATAAAATGAACAATTTTAATATTTTTACGCGATGTTCTATCTCTAAAGTCAACGGTTTCGCTACGCTTTGAAAGTTAATAGTTTTTTTCTCTACTGCAAACTATCAAAACTTACTCTGTCGAATATTCAAAGAACAAAATTTAAACTTAAATTGCTTACAAAAAATAAATAAATAATAATAAAAAACTACTACGTTAATCTAAAGTTTTTTTCTACCACTAGTTCAACCACAGTTTATGATGAATTTCGCGTTAAATTTCCGAACAATTTTACTAGAACGAAAAAAAGAAAAATTGAATTCACATGGGTAGAGTCAGAAAAGTTTAAATACATAATTTTAAAATAATACAATTCGTAAATGTTCCAGTTTTTCTTACGTTTTTCCCATTTTATCACATTTATTGTGAAAATCACAAATACGACCTCCTTGAGGTACCGACCAGATCCAAAAGTTGTTCACAGGCACAATAACAATAATAAAAGAAAAAAAAAGAACGTACCAATAACAGTAAAACCAATAACATTCTTCGATGTGCTTTGAATCTAAAAGAAATAAAACGTGTATTTCGCAAAGAACTTCGAACCATATTTCTTCAAGATAGTAGTCACCCATGCGTTTCACAGCGGATTAATGGACGTTATGAAAAATAGGTTTACCCGAGTCTCAAAACGAAAAAGAAGAACGAAAAAAAAAACCGACGATAATATATTGTATAATTAGTATTTTTCTTCGGCATACGATTTGCCGGCGGTCCGCTAAGGTTACAAATTGTAACATTTATCATTCATGTAAACCAAAAGGGAAAATATTATTTTTCGGACGTTGCGACCGACGTACGATTAGAGCGGTTTTTTTTTTTGTCCAGTTTCGACTGCGTAAAACGGATCGAAACGGGGTTTTTTTTTTTTCTACACGACTGTTGTTGTCCGGTATAGACACCTAATATCGACAACAATGTGGAAAAAAACGAAAATTTACTCTGCTCTATCGCGTGATATATTCCCCGGATCTAAATTTAAAGCCGAGCTCGGAGGTTTTTTGGCCGGCAGCCGCGGCGACAAAGCCGAACGCCGCGGGCCGCCCACCCATCACTGTATACAATATAATACGTATACCTACCTATATATCGGAAAAGAATATACTATGGAAAAAGAAAAAAAAAAACACTGAAAACCGTTAACATTTACGCGACACGCACACACGAAAACGCGGACGCGCGCGCACAGAGATTCGACGACGGAAATCACCGGGGCGGGACGGAAAAAACCGAAAATTTTCAAAAAAAAACAAAAAAAATTTAAAAAAAAAAAACCGTAAACGAGACGAAAAAACGATCGCGGTTGTCGAGATTAATGTAATGCCGAAAAAAAATTACGAAAACACCCGAGTGTACCGCACACTGACCGCCGTCGAAGCTTGTCGTTGCGACGCCGGACCGACTGCACTCGCTAACAATAGTGTTCGGGCCGCTGCGACGATGCCGCGAAACGGGAACCCGACGGTTTCCGATCGGCGCCGACAAACGGCCTCGCCGTACAGTTACCGCGGTTTTCCGAACGATACACCTTTACTACCTCCAGTGGCGTGAATCGGTCTCGATTTCTGACCGCGCCTTGGAATATTAAATTTTCCGACCCTCCCCCGAAACAGCGACTTTATCGGCGAACCGCCGTCTAATAAACCGTCGAGTTCCGCGACTCTCCAATAATAGTATTATAAATTTCTGTAAGTTTCCAACAAAAATCAAAGATCAATATTGTATTTTACTCGGTACGGTGAAAACGTTATTAATACATTATTAAATATAATGTCATACGTAAATACTCGAGTATACTGGGTAAAGTTACCCAATTTTGCATAATATTTATCAGTACATTTGTGTTTGTTCAGATCCTTTAATACTTGATAAGGATTTTTATCACATAATATGACGTAAAAATGGTTGGACTAGCTCTCTGAGAGTTAAAATTCAAGCGGCCCTCTATAAAACTTTCATAAATAAATCGAATAATATTACTCAATAAAATAAAATATCAGCGGCCCAGATAGGCTTTCCCCAACACGCCGGTGGCCTAGTCCAACCATGGACGTCACACTAATAGCATCAATTAAGCACTTTTGTGTGGTTAACTAATCATATCTTTGATGACACAAAAACTATTCACAATTAAACTTCTGATAAGGTTAATTGATACAGGTGTTTTTATACAATATTTCAAAATGTTTAAAATAGTTATTTAAATTTTTTAATTAGCATAATATATCAAATATATTATTGATTGTCACCTATAACTCATATATCCATATAACTGTCAATGAGAGAATTTATCTCCCTTAGCCCTTCCCGGCTACATCATTGAACATTTGTATATTCGACAATGGCAGTAGTGTCGAGTTCAGTTAAACGGATGGTTCGATTAACCGTACCGAGTCTCACCCACGTTATATTCTAAAATGTTAAAAACCGCTAAAATACAAGATGAAGAACGACTGCGCAAATTTTGTGTAGTTATGTTGCAGCCAAAGTACGAATACGAATCAGTTCTTTTCGGGGAACTATACCGGGACTGCAGTTTTAAAGAAAAGATGGATAGATTTTAGAGATTTTTGGATATTTATAGATTACTTTTCTAAATCCAGAGTAATGTCTCTTGGTAATTGAGAGTAAAGCTGTGTGTAGAATATTATTTGATATATATAAGTATGAGAATGTTTATGATGAGATGGAGCATAAATTTTGTGAAACTTACGATAAATGTATGAGAAATAAATATAACTTTACAGTAAGTAAACACAATAGCATATATTGAATGTAAATTAGGAAAGTTTATAAATAATCATCAAATTAAATGGCTTCTAAAATTGTAATTTTCTATTTGCAATACATTATACCTACCTATAAAACTATACAAAGTTTTTTTGTTTATGTTTTTGTTTTGGAAATATTAACTATAAAACATTAATGTATCATACTTTTTAAAATTAATATCTCTATATATTTCTACCAGTATAATAGGCTCTAAATATTACGCAAAAGTATTATATTATACTTACGTGAATTTTAAGTTTTGTAAAATGGAACACCAAGGAGAATAAAATATTAGGTATATTATATTATATGTTTGAACAGACATATTTTGTTAAAAAGTATCTCTCATTTTCCAGCAAAATAGTTGAATTGTAAATTATTTATCTTTATGCACGTAAACACGTAGTCATCGTTGTCGTCGTTTCATGTCAAAAAGGCCTTTTATCGTCTTATCTGCACTTATATTCCCATAGATCAATTTTGAAATATTCATAATACATTAAAAGTCTTTATACTATAGACATTTAATTTAATAAGACATTTATAGTCATTTAAATGTATGTCCATTTTATATACATACATGCGGGTAGTAAAAAAATGGTAATAACTGGATAAATTTAAATGAAATGGTAAATGAGAAACCATAACTTATTATGCTACAATAGTTTATTTAAAAAAATGTTTTGGTCAATCATTCGTGGACTAACTCGATCCTACTTATTTTAATTCTATACCTGTTATTACAAAAAAAAAAAAAACTAAATATTCATGCCAAAATGTCAGTTATTAAATGGTTATTTATGTCTCTAGATTAAGTGTAGATCTACTTAAGATTATGTATACATGTATAATCTTATTTTAATTTGATTAAAACTTAAACTTAGATTTGATTTTGATCCCTCAAATTTCTTCAGAATTCTCGGAACAAACTTTCCTGATACTCGGTGCATTTGCAGTTTTTCAATTATAATTGTTTGGCGTGATTCATGTGAAATCTAACATTTCTCTGCCAAACATGCTTTCTTTACAACGGGAAAAAAAAATACTCTCCGACCTGAGTCTCCGTTCCTAAAAATGCTCTTTTTGGATTTATTATAAAATCACCAACGCATGGAAAACATTTTTTTGCAAAAAAAACTGTTACATCAAAACTAATAATGTTACAGATAATTTATATACAAAATTCCGAGCTCAGGAGAAGTCGCTAAAGCCAATGATACAAACCCTACTGCTCTTTGAGGATCTATTGAATACTACGTAGAATTACATAAATATAACGGATATAAATCGTTTTACTCGGCTTAACTAGGGTAAACTCGGCTGTTATTTCACTGACAAACATTGTTTTCTCGCTACTATAATGTATATTCTCAACATATTGTAAAATGTGAACTTTACTATTACTATACCACCGAATATCTATATGCTATTATAATAATAATAGAATATAATATATATATATATATATATATTATATACTCCTACGTTCATACCTAATATTGTTGTTAATTAACTAGAAATACAAAACTTACGGCGCATATTCACCACGTTTGTGTGTTGAATAATGAAATTGTAGGAAACACTTACCTGAAACAAAACATAACAACAACATTAATTCAATATAATATTTTATTCAAACAAATGTGTTAGAACACATTATGTGTATTAGAATACACATAAAGCATAACATTTTCAAAAGTTTCAAAATTAAATTAATATTATGTATTCCGTTTTGAAAATAAAAATAATTTAAATTAAGTAACTAATTATTATTACAATAGAGTTGGCAACGCTACTGCCCAAGATTGCAACCTTATTAACGTAGTACACCTAATTTTAAACTAATAACTCGCAAACATCTGTTATTTAGTCATAGTGTTTTTACTATGATAAACTACAAAACAATGTACAAAATATAATTACGTTAAACCATGCGGGTATAGAATTCTCAGGATTGAGCGATAAGTGTCCTCCCCTTCTTGAGCTAAGGTGGATGGATCCACCGAAGACCGATACTGACCTTGAAAAATGCGCAAATAGAACATGATTATAGATGAGAACGAAAATATATAGAAAACTGACGTGAAATACTGGAAGAAGCAAAAAGTCGTTTAAATGGGCTATATAAAAACCGCAAAAGTAGATGGCATACAATTGGTCACGTAGCAATATGTGTATTTTAAGATGAATGCATTAAATTTTTTCAGTGGGTATTTTTGTTTTTCTCGTTACTGTATTAGTACTATATAAGAACTTAATATACGTGGACGTACATAATATTTTGGTAGTGATCCAAATTATTAATATGACGTGATCTGCAAACATAAAAAAAACCGTTGGTCTAACTGATGTATGTATATTTCGGTAGCGCAATTTTCGCGCTATAATATGCAAATACGCAGCTGAACATATTCACAGTTTTGATAAGACCTTTAAATAAAAATAAAAATGTCCCGGTTATTTCGTTATCTTAAGCATGGTAATTTCCATCGACAACGCAATAATTACTGATACGTTTAATACAATTATGTGCATTAGAACAATATGCAGTAACTTAACTTAACTGATACTTTATATCTATATCTATATATATATATATATAAAGATAAAAAAAAAAATAACAAATCAAAGACCGCCAATAATTGTTACTAATATTATTTTTTCAGAATTTTTTTCAGAGTAAGTATTTAATATGGTCGTCATCATGCAAAAAGTATAAATTTCAATCCCAATATGTTTATGAAAAAAGTTTCAAAGCGATATCATAAATAGTTTAAGAACCGCTTAATGCATAATACTTAATTGAAATCAAAATTTAATAAAATTAAAATTAATTTAAACTTAAAACAAATAAATCTGTTTAATTGGTCAATCAATTAAACAGTTCTTACATGACGGCGACGATATTGAACTTAATGATTTTTCTCTCAAACGAACCGAGCAAAACTGATCTTTTTTTTTGCTTAGGATATATATTTTTTAGATATATTGTCCCCTTTCGATTGAAATAATAATTATTATTGTAACCTATATTAATTATTAACGCCAAAAGTGCACATGAATAATACAATATACGTAACTCGTCTGCAATTTGATTTGATCGACTAGGTTTCAATTATATTTAGATATTTGCGCGACTCGTGAACGACTTAAATATTATTAGGGCTGCACCGTTTGTCAAACATTAATTTTACTGCAACCTATATTATTTGAGATGTATATAATACATAAAATAATATACAGTAGCCATTTTTTTTTTTTTTTTTAAACCCGATTGTTGTAACTCTAGTTCTCCATTCTTATCGATTGCTCGTATTGTTTTGCAAGTTCCCTAAAGGTGTTTAGTGTTTACCTCTGCGTCACTCTTTATTTGTCCTATATAGGAGTTTCGAGGACGTCTGGTAGTTTTATTTCCTTTAAACGAACTCTCTGAAAAATGTGTACATTAAATTGTATAATATTATTATTGTTCAAAATCTGTTTTGATAATAATGCCGTCGTTTATTCAAATTTAGTTAAAAACTATTATAATAAATAATATATTATGTTTTAATCAAATAACAACAAATTAAAAAAATATATAACATTCTATTAGAGATTTGTTTTTAAAAAACACACTTAATATTATTTTTGAATTTTCAAAAGAGTAAACAGTTATCAAAGAGTTTATAATAAATAGTAATATATTATAATACATTCTTTTTCGTCTTTGACTATGGACACATTGGACCCGTTCCCGATCCAATTCGATACGACCGACCCGGCCTACATCCAATTCATCCGATATTTGTGGATACAACATATCCGATTTCGTACCAACTATTTACATCGAAATCTACTGAAACAGTTGTTTATTTGTATATACCATCTGTCCATCTCTATAAGAGTTCACATATGTGTTGGTGCTTTTTCTCTTTTTATTTAATTTGTTTTCAAGTTCCGGCAGCTTATAAAACAAATTAAATGATTAACTACAAAATATTATGTTATATTGAAATAGTCTAAAGTCTTGTTTTATATGTCATGGTTTATTATAAGATTGTAAAAATTCAGAACATTATTTGTATAATATTAACAATGTTGGGGACATTTATCGAACATAGATAATGATATATCCCTGTCTTTATCCTTTCAGCTATTTGAAATCAATCATCTCTTTTTCGGGCTTTCTATTCTCTACCTATCCTACAGTTTTTGTTCATTGCCATTCTTACTGCTGCTTTCTTATGACATACCCAACTATCACAATAAATATTTTCTCTCATTTTGGCCACTATCGAAGACTTACCTATACGACCTCTTAAACTATCTGCTCCTGTCAAGTCATAGTCAAAGTAATAGTGTAATATTTTGTATTTATATTGATTAAATATTATTATGGCGAGTAACACAATTATTATAATTACATTCGAGGGTTTTTATATTTTTTTTTTTTGTAGTAATTACTTATTTTTGGCTTTCATATACACTTAATATATGTAGGTATGAAATATGAAATTCAAAATAGTTTGTTTAAACATTTTGTATATATGCATACCTGCCTGCCTGTAGGTATGTTTTATTCGCGAAAAAGAATGTTTTCATCAGGAAACTAAAAACTTTTTAATATTAGACTGACGACAATATTATTTATATTTATAAAAAAAAAAAAAAAGGTGCATAATAACTAATATATATTTTGAAGAGCAACATTTTACCGAACTTTTTCTCGTTAAAAAAAAAAAGAGAGAAAGAGAGAGAAAAAAGTTATTATATCTTAGTTGAATCTATAGGTATAGTTACATACCTGGAATACTACC